TTATCTCATAATAAATGAAAGGGAAAGGATAGAATTAGAATATCACCATTTTGCAACCCCTGTGTCTTACCTGAGGCTGTTATAATAAAAACAACGTAGACTGTATAAACAATAGAAATTTATTTCTCACAGTTTTGGAAGCTGGACGTCCAAGATCAGCATGCTAGGATTATCACGTTCTGGTGAGAAATCCCTTCTGGGTTGCAGACCGCCAACTTGTGATTATATCCTCACATGGCAGAGAGCAGAGAGGGAAAGCAGCTGCCACAAGACTTTCATGGGCACTGATCCCATTCTTGAGGGCTTCACACTCATGACCTCATCAGACCCTAATTACCTCCAGAAGGCCCACCTACTAATACCATCACATGAAGAGGGGTAGGGTTTCAATGTAGGACCTGGGGATGGGCACCAGTATTCAGTCCATAATATCCCATCAGTAATCACTGAGTAAAAATGGTTAACATCACAAAAGAGCAAAAACCAAATATTATATAGCCCCTAGTGAAAGAACACTGTCTTTTACAGTCTTGCCAAAGGAATAACACTTGAGTCTGATTAAGCCTCTGCATCTGGCTGCCAGTTTGCAGCTGAACGAAGAAATGTTGCATTGCATCGTGACTTTGCAGTCATCATAATCCAGAATGTAGGGTACTGCTGATTAAATTTCCTGGCTTGTCCAAAGTAAAAAAAAAAAAGAAAAAAGAAAAAGAAATGGATGGGGATATGCCTATATAATAAAGGAAATTTAAAAGATGTATCAGTTTTAAAAATTAGACATGTCTAGGGAAGCATGCTTAAATAAAATCCTCAAGAAATTCAAAGAAGTAATTACTCCATAAGCCACTTTTGGAGGTGCGGGACTATACTTGGGTTGGGGAACGTGTAAAGCCTTTTGAAGGGACTGGAAAAATAATTTCTTATCAGATTTCACTGAACTATATAATTGTTTTGTGTGTGTTTCCATATCTTAAGTTTTATTTTACAATAAAAAGGTCAGAATTTTTACTATTTTCCTGGGGTTTAGGCAAGTAGATCATAGACTATCTGGAAAGGTCTAGTAATGTGCAGTATTTAAGAAAGAAGCAGTGCAATTCATTACTGATGACTCTGCTTCAGATTCTACTTGGTGTTTCCAGCCCAAATTCTTTAGTAAATTTCATATCCCATGGCATAGACAAAGGACTGAGACATCATTTTAGCATGAATATTAATTTTTCTGTTTGAGGTCATGTTTTGGTGGTATTTTTCACTAGCAGAAGTTTCTCTGAATGGCAACTATGTGCTAGGGCCCTGCCCCAGGTATTTAAAATAAAAGGAGGGAGGTGGAATGGTTTCTCCACATAAGGGGCATAAAATACAGTTTGCAAAGTGAGATTTTGGGTTGTTGTTTTTCTTTCTCTTCATACAAGAGAGAGCTTGTGCCTTTACCTGAGAAATTACCTTGACACACTCTCTAATTCTCAACATGGACTCCATGAACTCCAAAGAAAGAGTGGGGATGAAAGTCCTTGAGTTTATTTTAACCTTCCAGGAAGACTAAAGGCAGAATGAATTTGTGCCCCGATATGCACGTAGTTGCTATAATCAGTCCCACTTTGCAGATGTCAGAACAAAGGTTCAAATGGTTGTGATTTGTCCAAGGACATTCCAAAAAGTAGCTGGTGGAGCTGAAGTTTGACAGGTTTCAGCCTCCAAATCCCATGTTAGTCCTTCCCCACAGATCACTCAGGGAGCAATTCTAGTATCCAGGTCTTGTGTTTACACCAGATGTTAATCATCTTTAAAAATGCTAAAGAACAGGGAGCTCTCTTTTCCTTCTAATCAGCTACTTCCCTAGAGAAGAGATCAGAATTTAATCAGTTAACACTTTCCCTCTGAGCTGATTTCTTTAACTTTAATTTCATTCTTGAGCTTCAGGCTTATTAGAGACTGAGATACTCAACAACAGTTTCCAGACCCTGGTACCCACGTACAGTAGCCTTCAACTTCACTTTCTACCCTGTGAAGTTCCATCTGTCAGGACAAGTACAACGAAAGATGGCAGTGGGAAGGGGTGAGGGTAGTAAATTATTCAAAAGAACTGAGCCGATTTAGCAAGGCCTCTTCCACCACTTTATTTACCTAAATGTGAGAGTAAGTCATGATCCTGACCAATGTTCTGGCCTCTGCGCTCACCCAGCACACCGTTGGAGAGCAGGCAGCTTCAACTGCATACGGAGAGAGCTTGTGCCTTTACCTGAGGCCAACCACAAATGAACAATCAAATATGCAAATTCCGCAAGCAAGAGACACTGTTATCTGCACTCTTACAAATACTCAAGTATTTTCTACAGCAGCAGGGCACCAGCCTGCCAATTAGCTGTTGTTTGGGCACACTTGAAGTTTTAGATAATTTAATCCTCCCTTTTCCAAATCCCCATACCCTCTTCTTTTAAATAATCTTCGTTCATTTTCTCTTCCCACAAAAATCTAAGCTATCAAAATACAGACTTAAGCAGAATGGGAGGCTAAACAGGAAGAAAGAGAGAAGAGGTTGAGAAGAAAGATATTCTCCAGCTCCACCCTGTTGGGGATGATGTGTTTTACGCAGATGATTCCCTGTGCTCACCGACCTGGGTACATTTTCCCTCACATCTAAAAGCTGAAATTCACCATTTATTCACTTCTGAAGATTCTGAATCATTCTGAACTGATATCAGAAGCAGATAGAGTGCATTTCCATTCTGCGAACTCTCCAATTCTCATCCAGTTTCGGTCTTTCCTTCCTTCCTCTTGGTTCACGCTGATGTTAAGATAACTTGTTTGATAGACCACTTTATGACTCAAAAATTTTTTATGGTCAGGAATTTCTAACTCACATGGGAGTTTCTTCCTTGAAATTAAGTGAATTTAACTTGATGAAGAGAAAGCTTTTAAAATAATTATAAAACTCGAATGTACATGTAAAACTAGAAATGCCAAGTTTACCATTAGCCAGTGATAGCACCTTTCTATTAATAACTGTGTGTGTGTGTGTTTGTTTGTGTGTGTGCATATGTGTTATTTAAGGAAGGAAGGGTTCTTTCTGTTTCTGCCAAGTGGCCATTTTTCCTTCTGTGGGTGCTGAGGTGCTCCTGCTGTATGTGTTACAAGGGTCTACGAGGGTCATTCCTTTGCTTGGTCAGAAAGTTCTTTCAAGAACTGTGTTTTCTCAATGGGGATTTCTGAATTCTCACAATGATCTAATTCACACTCTCCATAGTTGAGGTATTCGTAGGCACTTGTTAAATATGAAGGCAAATTCTAACTTGGAAGGAAATACATCACATTTTAAATGTTCTGAATTTAAAAGTTAACTTACCCTTTAGGAAAACTCAAAGGTAAAGTTTTTGCCTTCAAAATGGTTAGTCGCTGAGAGTAGGTTCATGGACAGCCTTTGGAGAAAACAACCGAAGACCTCCACTTTGGTTCACTTTATACGTAATAACTTGAAATGATATTTGAATGTATGATTTCTTATAGACTGTGATGCACCAGGGCACTCCACTCCAGTAAGTTTAGACAGGCATCTCTTATCTTTAATGCCCGATGGAAGGCACAAGAAAAGTCCCATAATCAATAGCAATTCTTCTGTGTGACCCTCAGTAAAGTATCGTTATAAAAATTTAGCATTAGGAAGAATGAAAAAGCAACCAGCATTAGATTTTAGAAAGTGATGAGGATGGTGACATTTGTCAAAATGACCTAATTAGGACTTAACAATTCAATTAAAAAACCAAATTACCAAAATATTAACTTTAATTGGTAAATGGAATATGTTTCATCCATACAGTGAACTCCAAAGTCATTAAGTAAAAGGAAAAAAAAACATTAATAAAGGATAGCATTTTCCAGTGTCACAGAAAGGGAAACAAACTCACTGACAAGAATATCATTTCCTAGATATTTTTGAATAAAAAAGCAAGTGACAGAACAAAATGATCTCAACCCTTTGTATCTATGAGCAGTTTTATTGTTCACTCTCAAGAGAATGTAAAATCATCTAAACTAATTGCCAATTCTGGGAAAACATAACCTGAGGGCTAATGACCATAGGTCATTTTTATATGAAATATAAAACACATGCTAGATGGAGATAACTAACCACCAGGTGAGCTGCTGTAATCATCGGGAAGTGGGTTGTCCTGGGGTTTGGGCTGAGACGTCTTCAAATTTGCTTTTGGCAAAATGACCCAATATAGATACTCGGCTGTCACAAGTAACTTCAAGTTGTAGAGGAGTCTTTCTAATGTTATTCTGGGATTTTGATTCATCTCAAGTGTGGAGAATTTCAAATTATGAGTGAGTATAAACTTTGTATTATATCCTAGAATTTAGAGGATTCTCATACACATATGAGTCTGTAAGCATGTTTGATATAAATCAGAAGTGCACTAGCTCTGCTTCTATTTCATACTTTGCTCTGAATGAATAATGGAGGAATGGTGATGATATAATCATGATCATGGGAGACAATAAAAAACAAGAGCTGTTGGTCTTTACTGATAAATCTAATGATAATAGCAAACACATAATTGCACAGATAATCCATTCATTTTGTCCAATTGAATTATCCATGTTTGTGTCTAGGAATTGGAAGGAGTTAGGAAGATGACTAGTTACTGATACTACCAAGTAGCACTTTCAGCAAGATTTACTTTAAGAGCCCCCTCAAACACATGCCATCCAAATTCTTCTGCTTCCATAATTCGTGAGTCATAGTTAGCAAATGGTTGTGTATGAAGTCTTCTCAGGAAACTGTTGTATCTTGGCAGTGAATACATGACTGATGGCATAAGAGCACCTATTTTAGTGGCTATTGGAGAGAAAAAGATAGAATTCCACCCAAGATGACTCACATGAAGTTTCTTAAAGTCAAATACTCCAGAAATGGAGGATGGAGCCCTTCATCCAGGAGTTCAGTGAGCCTTCCTCTTTGACTTAGGTTGACACCACCTTCTGCTTCTGTTTATTCCTAGAATGCAGTCCCAACAGTACCTGCAGCAGCGTCAAAAGTTTACGGCAGCCATCCTGGCATTCATTTTCATTTTGGCAGCGGTGGACACTGCTGAAGCAGGGAAGAAAGAGAAGCCAGGTAAGCAGTAGGGGCATGAAGGCAGGACTCATTGATTGATGTCCATCTAAGCGATTTTTGTCCTTCCTTGCCCCCCCACCTCCCTCCCTCTCTTCCTTCTTTCCTTCCTTCTTCTCTCCCTCCCTCCTTTCCATCCACCCGTCTATCCACCCAAGTATTTAAAGGAACCTAAGCAATATGTGCTCTCATCCACCTCTGAACTCTTGAGTCATGAAACATCAATAAGGATTATTAACATCATGATCGTATTAATAGCTACTATATGTACAAGAATACTGACCAGCACTAAAGTGTTTTACTTATGCTGCTTCTCATTCTCAAAAAGAGTCTTGTGTGGAATTTTTGTTTTATCACATATTAACCAAGAAGGAAACTGAAGCTCAGAGAGAATAAAGCAACTTTTCTAGGGCACTCCCCATGTCATAAGTAGGCTGTTAGCTGGGAGTCTGTTTATATCTGTGACCCACCACACTTACATTATGCTATTCAATCTGTAGGACAGAAAAAGGGACATGGACTTGGATTGAAATGGCTAATCTGATAACTGTTACTTCTAATAGAATGTTTTTCTCTTTCTTTTTTCTCATTTCTCTTCTCTATAAATGTTTGCTCCTAAAAGGAGATATCAGTAAATCACATAGCACAGTCCCTGGCACATAGCAAGAGTTCAGTTAATGTAAGTTCTAGCCCCTTTCGCAGTTTCTTTCTCCCTCCTCTTGGTCATTCATTGATCAATCGCTGGGCTCACACCTATCAAATTCCCACTATGACTGGACACTGAATAGGGGGCTAAGAAGCCCAGACCCTGCAGTGAAGGCACTCAGGAGTTAAAGAGTCTTATGGATGTTGACTGGTTTTCCTTCTTTCCAGAAAAAAAAGTGAAGAAGTCTGACTGTGGAGAATGGCAGTGGAGCGTGTGTGTGCCCAGCAGTGGGGATTGCGGGCTAGGCACCCGGGAGGGTACCCGGACTGGAGCTGAGTGCAAACAAACCATGAAGACCCAGAGGTGTAAGATCCCTTGCAACTGGAAAAAGCAATTTGGAGGTAAGTCCCACCCCCACTGGCCTGTCTTCCACTCTAATTCATGCATTCTTCTACCGAATATCTTTCTGAGGTTGACTGTAACTTATTTTAAGTAAGTTTATTTCACTGGATACAAAATAACCAGACATCTTGTTTAAATGGGTGCCTCCACTTTGGTACTAGTACATTTTGGGTCTGAGAGTTTTTTATTGTGGGGGTTATTCTGTGCATTTCAGGATATTAAGCAGCCCCTCTGGCTTCTACCCACTGCTTTCCAGTTGCACTTTCCACCTCCACCAAGTGTGACAGCTAAAAATGTCTCCAGATATTGCCAGATGTCCCCTGGGAGTCAACCTAGTCCCTGATTAAGAATCACTGCCTTACCAGTAGGGACGTAAAATGTTGCCTTGATCCCTCCTAACAGTGCTCATTGACCTATCTTCACTTGCCTTTCTGTCCTCTTCTATTTCTCAGTGTCTTCTATCTTCCTTTCCCCTTTTCTTATTTACTTCTCTCCTTCTCCAGAACTCTTTCTGTAGCTTTCAGGCCCAATCCCTCTTTTGGCACCTCCCCCACTCTCCACGCTGGTTCACAGATTTCCGTATCACATCCGGCAGGGCTGCTTACAGCCACTGTTCATAGGCCCTCCTCTCCTTGGCTATTGCCAGTCTCATGCTGGCCTCACCCACTTGTCTGAGAAGAACTCTTTCAACACTTCCGAATTTAAGCCCACTGTTGAACACCCAAACTACCTGTTTTCTCCACATTCTAGAATTTTGTCTGTCTTAGCCATGGTGGGACATGGTGAAATTTAGATACATTTGCTCTTAAATTGTATATGAATACCTAAAGACCCACCTACAAAAAGTTTTAAAAAGTATATCTTAAGGGACTTTTATCTAGAATATATAAAGAACTCTCAAAAGTAAAAGTCCAATTAGAAAGTAGGCAAAAAACATAAACATTTTATTGAAGAAGACATGGAGACATCAAAAAACACCTGAAATAATGTTGAACATCCTTTTCCCATTAAGGATATAGAAATGAAAACCAGGGAGATATCACTATACAGTACACATCTATCAGAATGACTAAAATTAGAAATAACATCAAGTACTAGTGAGGGTGCAGAGAAACTGGGTCATTCATACATTGCTGATGGGAATGTAAAATGGTACAGCCACACTGGAAAAGAGTATAGAAGTTTTTACAAAATGGAACAGCATTTACCATATACTGGTTTTACCATGCTATTATAGAAGTTACCCCCTTTCATAAAAAGGACCTCAAAACTTGTAAAGAATGAAGAGGTAATGTATATTCATTGTCCTTTTTCACTGGCCAATAGGCCAGAGTGAATTTCTATAGAACAGTGAAAACATTTGAGGTTTTGTATCCCACCATGGCTAATAAAGAAAAGCGCAATGGCTTTACTTTGGGGTACTTATCCCAAGAAATGATAAATTATATTCCTATAAAAATCTGTACACAAAGGCATGCAGCAACTTTATTGGTAATAGCCAAAAGCTGGAAACAACCTGGATATCTGTCAAATGATGAATGGTTAAACAAACTGTGGTATGTCCATGCCATCCATGGAATACTACTCAGCAATAAAAAGGAACACACTATTGATACATACAAGGTAGATGGACCTTAAGGAAATAAGGCTGAATGAAAAAAGCCTGTCTCCAAAGGTTATATACTATATGATTCCACTTACATAACATTCTTAAAATGACAAAATTTTAAATATGGAGAACAGATTAGTGATTGCCAGTGGTTAAGGAGAGGGGAGTGGAGGGAGAGGGACATATAGGCTAAGAATGAAAGGATAACCCAGGATCCCTGTGTTGGAACTCTTGTGTATTAGTAGTATTGGTATTTGCTCATATCTACCCATGTGATAAAGTTGCTAGAATTAAATGTACACACACACACATGCACACACACAAATGAGTATATGTGGAGCTGGTGAAACCTGAACGACTTCTGTGGGATGCCTCCCTGTTAATTTCCTGGCTGTGCTACTGGATTACTGGTACTCCAGGTCTCACAGTTGCGGGTACTGGGGGAAGAGTACCTGGGATCACTCTGTATTTTTTCTCACAACAGCGTGTGAATTTGCAATAATCTTACTACAAACAGTTACAAACAAAGTGTATCTATTTTCAAGACACTGTATGAGGAACTCAGAGATTTCTGTCTGGTCCTACCCTACCTTTAGCCGAGTGCAAATACCAGTTCCAGGCCTGGGGAGAATGTGACCTCAACACTGCCTTGAAGACCAGAACTGGAAGTCTGAAGCGAGCCCTCCACAACGCCGACTGCCAGAAGACAGTCACCATTTCCAAGCCCTGCGGCAAACTGACGAAGCCCAAACCTCAAGGTAGGTCCCTGCTCTTCCCCCACAATTTGAATAGGAATGGATTGACAGACTCCCACAGGACCTTCAGATGTAGAAGCTCAAATTTTCCAGAAGGAAATCGTAGATGAATTACCTTAAGAAAGGGATTGGAAAACCCCCATGTCTTGAAAATCACATAAATACTTTTCAGCAGGCAATGGATGAGTTCAAAAGGAAGTCCTTGGCACAGAGGGGGGACTGGGACAGTCTCCTAGCACAAACGAACGACATAGCAAGCAGGCCAGTTAAAACAAGTGGTGTTTTAGAAACTACATATTCCAAACCCTATACTGGGACTATATCTTGACAAGTATAACAAAATTATGAAAATCATGAAGCAGAAAATTTAAAATCAAGTCTCTTCTAGATTATCTAACATATATAGCTTTCATGAAATCATCTAAATTATTTTATGTTTTTCCTTCTGCTGCTGTGTAACTTGATAGGTTCTGTATTTCTCATATTTCTTTCAGAGCCTTTATATATTTTTAGTTGAATTCACTTACCAATTACATTTATCATTGAATGTTTAAAACAGGTAGAGCCAGCTTTCTATTCAGTCCCAGAAAGACTCTGCTCTCTTACTAGAGAAAATAAACCAAAACAAGTATCATGGCCATGGTTACATTCAAATAGAATCTCAGCTAAGGGAAGACAAGGAGTCATTAAACTCTTTTTTTTTCCCCCATGAGTATATGATTCAAAATTCAAATGATGAATTCCTAACCCTCAGAACCTCAGAATGTGACTATTTGGAGACAGGGTATTTAAAGTGGTAATTAAAGTAAAATGAAGTCATATGGGTGGGACTAATCTAATATGACTGGCATATAAGAAGAGGATATTAAGACCCAGACAGATACAGAGGGAGGACCATGTGAAAACACAAGGAGAAAACATCCATCTACAAGCCAAAGAGACAGGCCTCAGGAGACATGACCCCTGCTGACACCTTGATCCTGTACTTGTAGCCTTCAGAACTGGGAGAAAATTCCTATTGTTGATGCCACCCACTCTGTGGTGCAGGGTGTACCAGCTCTAGCGATCAAACTAAATGGGCCTCAGCAAACTCTAAATTAAAATGTCTCCTTGGCCTCTACTCGTATTTGAGCTTTAAAATGAACCTGAGAATTCATATTAGCCAGATTTAATTATAAGAGAAACTCATAAAACTGAACATGAAGCCCATAATAAGTGAAAATAGGGAAGAAAAAAAAAAGAGAAAAATCCCAAGACCGTAAAGGATGGGCTCACTTGCTGCTGATGGTCAGCGAGGGCTCCTTTCAGAGGCGTATCTCTACTGATGGGCTTGTCCCTAGAAATGGTTACCTCCAACTTCAGGATGGCCAGATGCAGGCTAGGTCTGTAGAGGACCTGTCTAGGATTCAGGCTGCCTTTCAAGGTCATGGACAGCTCTGCTGGTTGTAGTGTGTACTTGGAGGGCATGATGTGGGGCCAGGTCAGTGCACTGACTGTGTATGCCGGCTTTACAAGTGTCACTCGTGCGTAGACTACTGCACAGATCTAATGCAAGGTAGTGGCCATGTCTAGTCAGTGAGACAGCTCTGAAACTGGAATAACTCAGATTTACAGTTTTCAAATTAATTTCTGTTTAGCCCATTCAGAGAACCAAAATAATTTAGCATAAGTACAGAACGGAAAAGAAAAGGGATTAACCACCTTCCAGCACACTAGTTCTCAACCTGGGCTGCACAGTAGAATTTTCTATGGGAGCTTCTAAAAATCCCAGTGCCCAGGTGCCACCCAGGCCAACTAAATCAGCATCAGCAGTTTAGAAAATAAAATGTTCCACTATGAGCCAAATTTGAGAATTACAGCCCTAGTGTGAAGTTCATGGAGCTTACACACACAACGCCTCTTTTTTCCTCTGGAGGGTGGGAGATCCTGCTGCTTAATGGACAGGGAGACAAAACAGAGAGGGTGATGAGGCGGTGGGGCTGGTGAACATGGAGAATGCGGGAAAGTCTGGAATAGGTAGGACAACCAGGGACACGATTAAGGAAGATCCCCCTCAAGAGATTTTGTAAACACCGTGTGTGGGGACACCTTTTCAACTGGACTGGTGGATAGTTCACTATTTTCTTTTTTTTTTTTTGCTTTTCCAAACTAGGACTATGTAATGAAGGTTAAAAGTTTGGATCAGATTTTTCACCCTGAAAAATGATGGTAAAAATCTTGCAAGTGGGTGGACACTGTAATTTTTTTCTACAAGGTATATAATGAACAGAAAACAGGTCCTCCTAGTTGTACATTTTTTCATAGGTTGTTAAAATGCAACTTGCCCTTTGTGCATAACTGTCCTTTGTTAAAACTGACCAATCTTTACCCTCTCAACAACGGAGGGTTTTAAGCATGCTGTTTTGGCACCAGGCACTCTGCACAAGGAAAGTTCTTATGGGAACAGTTGAGCTAGAGAGATGTGTCAGATGCAAAATGTCACAAGTGGCCTGTGCAGGTTGTGTATTATTTCTGTGCCATTTTCCCAAATAACCATGAGAGGATAATCAATAATCTTGAGAAGATAACCTTGAGATAGCTCATTTTTTTTCTGATCAATGGAAAAACAAATAATAAAATGAAATCTCTGTTATCATCAGTATTGTTCTGTTACTACTCTCATGCCTCATTCTAGGTGTTTTACATGTAACATCTTATGAAATGTATATTCATACAAGCTGAGATTGTTATGAAAGAAACCGAGGAACACTGGTTACTTTATTCGGCCAGGGATACATCTCTAACAAGTGACAGTCAAGATTTGGATACTCTAAACTTCTATTCTCTTTTGTACCCTGCTGGTTTCTCACCTAAGTCGCATATGGGCCCAAGTTAATCTCCACGGGTTTTATTTTTCTTTGAAATAGGAGAAGATAAACTATGTAAAGCCCGATACTTATATGCAAGATGATTTGCAAATGGAAGAGGACATTTTCTAGAACATATTTCTAGAACTGTTCTGGAAGGCATCTACCTGAATATACAGGTTTCAGAAGGACAGGGACCTGGCCTATTTTGTTCTCTACTCTGTCCCCTTCACTTAGAACAAAGAGTAGCACACAGTAGATGCTAAATAAACATTCATATAATAGATAAATGCTGAAGGGAAAAAAGGTTTCACATGCTAAATTTGCCAGAGTGGTGGAAGCTGCAGTAAAGAAGTGATTTAAGTAAACTTTTCTCAATGTTACACAATTGTAAATTATTTTCTTCCTTTATTCAGGAAAGGATAAGTCATCAGTATATAAAAAGGATAGATAAAGGTAGGGAACCCACTAATTTCAACCCAGACCCCTGTTAGCCACCCCTCATTTAGTTAAGCTTCAAAACAGCTCTGTGCAGCACATTTTACTTATCCTATTTTATATAGGAGAAAGCATTGACTCAGAGAGGTTGAACAAGTTGCCTGATATTTCACAGCTTGTAAGTGTTGAAACCAGCATTCATATTCAAAGTCAGACTGACATCGAAGACCGTGAATCAAGTCACAACGATACTCTTCGAGTCTTTCCTGAGTTTAATGCTGGGTATAAAACTCATGAACCTCTGGCCGTATGAGATAAATCTCAGTGTCTAGAATCATTACATGGTAGAGCTCCTGGGGATCTTGCCTGTCATCTGATGTAACCTTCATGTAACAAATGAGGACAGAGAAAATCAGTGATTCACCCAAGTCCATCCTGTTTGTAGCAGAATCAGTTCCCAGTTTTGTTCTCTTTTGACGTCATCTTTCTGCCTTTTTAACCTCGTCACTGAGCTCAGAGCAGAAAAATGCCTTTTGTCCTATCATTATCCTTCTCATCAAATACAGCATCAGATTTTGTTTTATCTGGTCTCACAGATACAAATGAAAGACATATATGCCACTTTTGCTTAGTTTCTAGCCTCTTTTGTTTTGGGAGATGGTAGCAGATTCATTTGCAAACTGCATGATTTTCAGTGTGAAAAACATGCTCTTTAAGTTTGAGAATGGAACATAAAGATGTTGGTGAGGCTGTGACACCCAGCATTAAATTCAGGAAAAACTGGAGAGTATTGTTGTGACTTGATTACTTATCAGGCTAAAAGATTAAAAGACTTACTTTGTATCTAGAAATTTCTAGAGGAAGAGTGCTTAATATCTAGAGTTGTCATTTAAACTCTGGAAAATTACTACCTACCCCACCTAACTTGGTTTAAAATTGCCTTGAAATTGATTGCACTCCAGTCTAACAGTATTACCTATTGAGGTATAGAAGTGATCCTTCCTATTGCTATGTCAATATTGTCCAAACTCAATGCTTTAGTCTTTCTCCATAATTTTGATTATACTATCTATCAAGTTGGAAACCCTTATCTAAAGATTCTCTTGTGTTGGAACCCCACTTAATCTGAGGTGAGCTTTTAGTTACCCCTTTCTGTATTATAAACTTAGAAGAAAAGATAATATTTTGAACCAGACCCCTGTTAGACACCCCTCATTTAGTTAAACTTCAGAAACTCTGTAGACATAAGAACTGAAAGATGTGTAATTGGAATATAGCTGTCCTGGGCATGGGGATAGGGCTGCTCTGGGGAAGTTATTGATTGACTGGAAGATGATAACTGGAATTTGCTTAATGCCACCAGAATCTAGCAAGGATTCTGGTGAGCAGTTGTGTTGGACACTTTGAGATTTTAATTTTCTAGGAAAAGAGATTGAGAGTATTAATTAAAATGATCAATTAAGAAAATACTGTATCTGTCAGGGTTTTTAGTTGTAGCAAGATCTAGTGTAGCTAGTTGGCAGAAGTGGGTTTATTCAAGAGTATTATATAGCTTACAGAATCTCCAGAAGGTCAAGAGGATATGAGTTGGATCCAGCAATATTACAGTAGAAAGCAACAGATCCAAGAGAAATGTCTAATCACACCACGCATAACTCATGTAGCAGAAACCTACCTGCTGAAATTTCCCACCACTCAGCCCATATGCCGAGCCCTGAA